TTTGGGCAGATTTAGTTGGGGTATAGAATCCCAAACAGCATCTATTTCCCTTGCATCCTATTGCTATCCTGAAAGTTCACACCATCTTTGTCGTCTCCGTTTTCGTCATTTTGTCTTCGTCTTTTTCCCCCATTGTCCTTGCCACTCTTCATCAGGAAAGTTCCTGCATGGGGGAAAGTTCCCCCATCACATGCATAGTTTCACCTTCCATAGCACCATAAATGTTTTGGGGCAATTTAGTTGTGTTATAGAAACGGAAACATGATCGATTGCCCATGCATCCTATTCATATCCTGATACTTCACCCACTGTTTGCCGTTCCTCTTAGTGTCATTTTTGCTTGGTCGTTTTCCCCCATTGTCCTTGCCATACATCTGAGTTGACGACATTCACGTGAAAATGCTTTTATACCGGTGTCCATTGTGGGTGTGTCTGCCCTTTTTTTTTCCCCTTTTAGGAGCTTGGCTGTTCGTTGCGGTGAGGGGAGTCGAGAGGAACATTGTGATGGCATCATCTTCGAGCACGGCCCTGATCTTTACAGGCGAGAGGACCGATGGTGAGTTTCGCAAGCAATATTCTTTAACGTTGAAACCTATCATCGGAGATGGTAATTGCTTATTTCGAAGTCTGTCAATGTCATTATACGATACGCAAAACAGATATACAGATGTAAAACGCGAGCTGTTGCGACATGTTGTCGACAACTGGGATAATACTACATACAGGTATCCTCTAGAAGCTAGTATGGCGCATGAAAAGGTGTTCGAAACTGCTAGCGAGTATTTTTCTTATCTATCACAGGATGGAGCTTATGGATCGTGCAATGAGGTGAGAGCATTCTCTGTCGTTTATAACATAACGGCAATCATTTGGCTGGATACAAGACAGTTCATTGTTTGTTTTCGTGCACCGCAAGGTACGTCTGGGAATCGTGTTACGCATTTACATTTTGATTGCGTTCTTGAACACTACTCTTTACTTGTTCCCGATCCGGAAGGCACTGTGTACGGCACCAGGTACGAGAGCATGCAACATACTGGCAATGATACAGAACCGGTCCATATTCGTGTCCCTCATTTGAGTTCGGAAAATCATTCTACAAGCTTACTGACAACTGCGGGGGATGCTTTATCAACGATGGATTGTGAATCTGTGGACAGTGTTAGAACCGCTACTATGAATGATAGATTTTCCCATATTTCAAACAAAACCGCTAAGTCAAACGATGGAGTAGTACAAACTTGTTCAAAAAAGCGTCGTCAAAAAGTACATAAGGCTTCAAATACGTTTTTTTGCATATGTCGTAAGTACGCACAGGCACGAGACGAACCCAACAAACGCTTTATAGGTGTGAGAGCTCTCGCACATGGTTTCAAATTTATTGTCAAGTACAACAAGAAACCGTTTTCATTTTCCGGTTTTCAACATGCTGCAGATGCAGCATTTGCAAGAGCGTATTTTATTCACAAAAAATCCAAAATATACAAGGTTACGAGTTCGACGTACATTTTGGATTTGATGTGAACACTGGAATTCCAATTTCAAACAATGATCTCGATTTAAAATTCAAGAACGTAACAATCATTCGATCACCTTCTAAGCAGAAAATGAGTAAGTCCATGGTTGAGTTTCAGAAGGATTGCAAGTGTGGGCCCGACGTAGAATGTACAGCGTGTGGTACTTTCAATTTTGAACGTAACATGGTACAAAAGGGGACAGGTAAACCATCGAAAAGAATATGTCGACACTGCGCTAAATATGAAATCGATGGAAACGTATCTCCATTCTCGAACCTCAATCGATACGGGTTTCCGACAAGACCAGCTGCTATTCAAGACATAACGGTATTGGAGGAACGATTGGTAAGTCCTCGTATACCGTTCATGAAGATCCATTCCTTGTCCGTTGGCAAACAGTTTGGTATTCAAGGCGGAGTAATAAATATTCCCGTCGAGGTAGATAAGATGGTCCAAGCTCTTCCAAGATTACCAGATGATACTCATACCATTACGGTACGGTTAAAACGTAAGCTTGTTTATAAGAACAATGCTATCGAAGATAATGTACGCCCAACAAAAATCTTAAAAGCGGTGGAGTTTCTTTGCAATCAAGATCTCTTCAAAGAATATGGCATCCATCTCGACAACATGAAGATGCGATCATTAGAGTGCAATACCCGTGAGGTATCTTCAGAAGACAGTGGAGACAACGACGAGAGGAGATTGAAACCGGGGTCGTCGTCCTCGGATAAAAGTGAAGATTCTGATCATCATAACGTCGGTGTGCTTGATACTCTCTTAACTCAAGAGCATTTTTTTCAGCAGCCTTCACAATGCATAGTGCAAATGGCACCTGGCGAGCATGCAAGACCGTTATCCATTGTCCTTGATAAGGACGTCGAGGAGCTAAGCTTTCCATCAATCTATTGCGGTCAACGGCGATTTGGTGGAGCGCGTAACTTGAACGTCTCATATTCGGATATTGTGAAATGGGAGCTGAAACATGCCAACGGGCGATGCTCTACTAATGTTCCGAATATTTTCTTCAAACTGTACAAAAAAGAGATACTTCAAGTGCAGAACGTTATTGCGACAAGGGTTAGACAAGAAAAGATTGAGAACATGCAGTCATTTACGGCAGCAGACATGTTAAATGAAACAAAGCGAGCAAGTCTGCAGCAAAATGATGCACTTTACAACGATTTTAGAACAATACGTACCACTCAACAATATAGAGACAAGTGTAAACGAGATCTTTTTGCGATGATACGTCAGTTAGGAAGACCCACGTTTTTTTTTTACATTGTCGATGGCCGATACCAAATGGACAGACCTCCACGCAATACTGTTAAGAGTTAATGATCTACGAAGAAACCCTCCTAAAATACGTACTGACATCAGCATACCGTTGGATTTTGATACTATTTGTTCGTTAGTTCGACATGATCCAGTTACGTGCGCTCGGTATTACGACTTCAGGAAGAAGGCGTTGTTTTCAAGGCTACTTAATGCGACCTCCTCCGTCTTAGGAGGTATTCATGATTATTTTGCACTGGACGAGTTTCAACATCGAGGTGCGCCACATACTCATGCAGTTCTTTGGAGCAAATCGGCTAAAGATACTGATGTGGATTCTGCAGCTGATATCATAAAGTTTGCAGATCAACATATCAGTTCATCGTCTGAAGGATTGGATTCTCAACTACTGCTCTTACAAACTCACAAGCATTCCCGGTCATGCCAACGTCGGTCGGCCAGCGGCAAGAAGTGTAGATTTGGGTTTCCAAGGTTTCCGCTCCCATCTACAATGATTTTACATCCTATTTCTACTACATTGACAGAAAAAGAACAGAAGAAAATTAAAAGTCATTTGAGTCTTATAAAGGAACGTCTGGAGGTAGCGCCAATTTGTTGTGATACGTTTGATTCATTTTTAAAGAACATAGGAATTTCATTTTCAGAATATTTAATGGTAATACGATTTACTCTTAAACGTATTACACTTGTTCTCCAACGAAAGGTGTGTCAAACATTGCATGTTTATATTGTCTAGGCTGTAGTGGGTTACACCTTAGGGGGTACACAAAGTTAGGGTTTCCTACTTGTACCAAACTCTGTTCTAGTTCATTCATTCCTGCTCAGTTATTTCTGACATGGTTTCAGAGCAGGTCCTTCGCTAGGACTGTTCTTAGGGCCCACCGACTTACCTACCTGCTTACCTTCGCTTCTTTTCGGCCCCGATGGCCCCGTCGATCTAGCACGATCTAGCGGCCCTGCGGCCCCTTCGAATTTTTTTTTTAGCGGCCTCTCACGGCCCCCGTCGCGTCGCCCCTTAGCGCCCCGATCGGCCCCGTCACGCCGCCCGCGAACCGCACAGCGCGCCGCGCTCACAGCCCGCGAACCGCCCACGCACAGCCCGCGAACCGCCTGCGCAGCCCGCGACCAGCCCGCGCAGCCCGCGCACAGCCCGCGAACTGCCCGCGAGCAGCCCGCGACCTGCCCGCGAACCCCCGCGAGCCGCCCGCGACCCGCTTACGCAGCCCGCGAGCAGCCCGCGCAGCCCGCGCTGAGCCTGCGCGGCTCGTGCGCTGACCGCCGCCGGCCCGCACGCTGCCCGCACTGCTCCCGGCCCGCCGCTGCCGAGCCCGCAGCCGCCCGCGCACCGCCGCTGCTGCGCCCGCTGCCGCCCGCGCACCACCGCTGCTGAGCCGAGCGCCCCGCGCCCCCGCACCGCCCTCTGCTGAGCCCGCCGCCGCCCGCGCACCGCCGCTGCTGCGCCCGCTGCCGCCCGCGCACCACCGCTGCTGAGCCCGCCGCCGCCCGCGCACCGCCGCTGCTGCGCCCGCCGTCGCCCGCGAATCACCGCTGCTGAGCCCGCCCCTACTACGCCGGCTCTCGCTGCCGCCTGCTGCGCCTGTGCACCACTGCATTCCTACTACTACACTTTCTGCTACTACTGCTGCTTGTGCGCCACTACAGTCCGTAGGCCCCACCGGCCCCGCTGACCCTGCGCACGCCTTTTCAGTGACTTTACTGCTTCTACTACTGCCGCTGTCGCTATGGCTAGTCCTCCTGTTCTAGCTTTCGACGCCGAGGGCCGTCCGGTCAAATTCGAAACCTGGCTAGATGACCTGCACCTTTTCCTACAGCTCACTGCCAAGGAAGATATTACACTGTACGACCACGCTCTCGGCCATGCGACCGCCCCACTCGCTACTGCCCCCCCAGCTGAGCGCTCACAGTGGCAGACCCGTGACGCGCACGCTCGCTTTGCTATTCGCAACTCGCAACTCCCTGCCGCTAGATGAGCGCGAGCACTTCGGCCAGTGCAAGACTGCTAAGGACCTCTACACAGCTGTAGTGGCCCGCTACTCCTCACCCGCTTCTGCCACACTAGGCCGCCTCACTCTCCCCTACCTGTTCCCCGACCTAGCCTCCTTTCACACTGTCGCAGACCTCATCACCCACCTTAAGACTAGTGAGGCTCGCTTTCGCGCTGCCATGCCTGATGAGTTTCTCGCTAGCAACCCCCCCCCGCTCTGGATCACTCTCTACCACGTTGTCACCCGCCTCCCTGACTCTCTGCGCCCTGTCAGGGACCAGTTCCTCTCTCGCTCCCCCACTGAGCTCACCATAGCCCTCCTCGAGAAGGAACTGCTTGCAGCTGAGGCTAGTATCGTCGCTGTAGGCACCTCTCGTGGCGACCCCCGCGGCCCCTTCTTCGAGGGGTGCTCCCCTTCCCCCCTCCTCCCCTCTGTCGCCTCTGCTGCTGCTGTCGACCTCCTTGGTGCTGAGAAGGTCGGGGCTGCGTCTGCTTCAGGCGGACGACGCAGGGGCAGGAGTGGCAGGAGTGGGGGTGGTGGCGGAGGAGGCGGGGGTGGAGGTGGTGGCGGTGGAGGTGCGACTGGAGAGACTAGTGGCGGCAGTGGTGGAGGTGACAGCGGTGTTGGGAGTGGTGACAGGGGCGGAGGTGGCAGCGGAGGCGGAGGTGGTCGTGGCAGCGGCAGGGGTGGAGGTGGCCGGGGCGGAGGCGGAGGGGGTGGTGGTCGTGGAGGCCCGGGGGGCGGTCAGAGTCAGCAGCCTTCCCCGACCCTTCAGGCCGCCCGTGAGTGGTATGCACGGCGCAGCGTCACCTGCCAGTACGTTATTCGTACAGGTGACCGCACTGGCCAGATGTGTGGGGGGCCGCACCAGACGGAGCGCTGCTTCGCCCGCCTCAACGATGCGTGGCGCACCCAGTTTCCTGGTGGGGGTGAGCTGCCGCGCTGGGCTGATCTGCTCAGGAAGGGTGTTGATATTTGGGCACTTGACTTTGATGCTATTCTCACTGCCATGTATGCGATGTCTATTAGTGGAGAGGGTGCTCAGTACTTGCGTGTTCCGCCCGACCTGGGCATTCAGGCCAGCCCCGCTGCTGCTCTAGGTGCTAGTGTGTCTGCTTCCACAGGTACTACTGCAGCTGCTGCTCTAGGTGCTTGTGCGTCTGTGCCCCCTGGTACTGAGTCGACTGCAGCACTGCACACCTTCACACTGGACTCAGGTGCTTCTCGCTCTTTCTTTCGTGACCGCACTGTCCTTGAGCCTCTAGCTCGGCCGGTTGCTGTCTCTCTTGCTGACCCCTCTGGGGGTCCGGTCCTTGCGACCTCCTCCACCACCCTTCCGTGTCCAGCGGTTCCGTCCGGCACACTCTCAGGTCTCTACCTCCCCTCGTTCTCCACGAACTTGGTGGCAGGTAGTGCGCTCCAGGACTCGGGTGTTCACCAGTTCACCCCTGCCTACGAGCGTGTGACTCACTGCACGTGTGCTCGGACGGGCCGCCACCTGGCTACTTTCACTCGAGAGCCGGGGTCTGACCTGTACACACTGACCACTGAGTCCCCTCAGGTAGCTGCGTCTGCGTCAGCGTCAGGTCAGCTGTCCGCCCCCTGCTCGTGTCGCTCTCTGGCGAACGACACCGTCCTCTGGCACCACCGCCTTGGTCACCCGTCTGTGCAGCGCCTGCGGGCCATGCACAAACGGGACCTTGTTGCTGGTCTTCCCAGGGTGCTCCCTCCCCTTCCAGCCTCGCCTGCTCCTGACTGCATTCCCTGTGTCGAGGGGCGGCAGCGCGCCGCTCCTCACTCTCCTCCTCCTTTCCCCCGACCGACCGCTCCCCTGCAGACGCTCCACATGGACGTGTGGGGCCCAGCCCGCGTCCGTGGTCAGGGTCAGGAGAGGTACTTCCTGATAGTTGTTGACGACTACTCGCGCTACACCACGGTCTTCCCCTTGCGCGCCAAGGGTGACGTCCCTGGTGTTTTGATCCCCTGGATCAGCCGAGCCCGTCTCCAGCTAGGCGAGCGCTTTCACTCGGACTTTCCTGTCCTGCGCTTGCACTCTGACAGGGGTGGTGAGTTCGCCTCCGACCTCTTGGCAGCCTACTGTGCTGAGCACGGCATTGAGCAGTCGTACACGCTTCCGGCCTCTCCACAGCAGAATGGGGTTGCTGAGCGCCGCATTGGCTTAGTCATGGAGGTCGCTCGTACCTCCCTGACCCATGCGGCTGCTCCCCACTTTCTGTGGCCGTTTGCGGTCCGGTACGCAGCACATCAGCTCAACCTCTGGCCCCGTGTCTCCTTGCCGGAGACTTCCCCGACTCTACGGTGGACGGGAGAGGTTGGTGATGCGTCGCGTTTCCGGGTCTGGGGATCTCGAGCCTTTGTCCGCGACACGTCTGCGGACAAGCTCTCACGTCGCACTGTTCCCTGTGTCTTTCTTGGCTTTGTTCCCGACGCGCCTGGATGGCAGTTTTACCACCATCACCTCGCGCCGGGTTCTGGCCTCTCAGGACGTCACTTTTGACGAGTCCGTCCCCTTCTACCGCCTCTTCCCCTACCGCACTGCCCCACTCCCCCCCCCGCCTCTCTTCCTCGCTCCAGGTGCTGAGGTACCAGACCCCCTCCCCCCTCAGGGTGCCGCTCCCTCAGGTGTGTCCCAGGTAGACCCGGGTGAGCCTGTCGAGGTGGCTGTTGACTCTCGTCCTGCGTCTGGGGGTGCTGAGCCTGGAGGTGCGGAGCCTGGGGGTGCTGAGCCTGGAGGCGCGGAGCCTGGGGGTGCTGAGCCTGGAGGTGCGGAGCCTGGGGGTGCTGAGCCTGGAGGTGCGGAGCCTGGAGGTGCGGAGTCTGGGGGTGCTGAGTCTGGACGTGCTGAGTCTGGGGGTGCTGAGTCTGGGGGTGCTGAGTCTGGGGGTGCTGAGTCTGGGGGTACTCCACCTGGAGGAGCCCTCTCCTCCCAGCAGCTGCAGGAGAGGTACCTCGAGTACTGCCGCCTCCGGAGAGGTGCTTCTGGAGCTCGTCCCGGTACTTCCCCTCCTACCCAGGAGCTCCCCCCCATTCAGGTGATCCACGAGTGGTACACGCGGCGCTGCAGTCTTCGTAGTGGTGCTCCTGGTGCTGCGGACCCGAGCGGTGGTGCTGTTGCTGGTGCTGAGGACCCGGACGCTGGAGCTGCTGCTGGTGCTGAGGACCCGGGGGCTGGAGCTGCTGCTGGTGCTGAGGACCCGGGCGTTGGAGCTGCTGCTGGTGTTGAGGACCCGACCGGTGGCGCTGCTGCTGGTGCTGAGGACCTGACCAGTGGCCCTGCTGCTGGTGCTGAGGACCCGGGCGTTGGAGCTGCTGCTGGTGCTGAGGACCCGACCGGTGGTGCTGCTGCTGGTGCTGAGGACCCGGGCGTTGGAGCTGCTGCTGGTGCTGAGGACTCGGGCGTTGGGACTGCCACTGGTGTCCCTGCTGTTTCTGGAGACGCTGCGCGGCCGCGACCGTACTTCGTACCGCTCCTTCAGCAGGTTCTTGGTCAGGCTCCTCCTCTTAGTCCTCCTCCCTCCGTAGCGTGTCCTCCGCCTGTCCAGCCGCAGTCACAGTTACCGCCTGTCTCGCCTCTCCCTGCTCCCTCCCCCACGCTGGTCCCACAGGAGGTCTTACAGAGCGTCGTGAGCCTGAGTCTCGTCCTGCGTCGCCTGTTCGTACTGCTCGCACTGGTCGTCGTGTCCCACGTGAGCGTCCTCCTCCTGTCCCTGGCACTCACTACATGACTCTACGTCCCTCCACTGCTCCGCAGCGTGTCCCGCTGCCGTCTCCTCCTGCGTCCTCTCTTCCTACTCTTCCTGACCCGGAGTCTGACTCCCGTCGTGCTGCCAGTCCCACTGTTACGCGTCTCCTCGCTACAGTTGTCACTGACACCCGACTTTTGAGTCCTCTGCTGCGTCTGCCCTGGTCGCTGAGTTGGTTGACTTTGCTGCTCGCTGTCGCCTAGACTACGCTGCCAGCCTTGTCGCTAGGTCTGAGTCTGCGTCTGCCTGTCCTCCGTCCGTCGGGGGTGAGTGTGCCCTCGGCACGGACGTCCTTGAGGACAGACAGGAGGAGTTCCACTGCCTTGCTGCTGCTTTGCCCCGTCTCGTGTCCTTGCTAGTTGCCCCTGAGGGAGACCCGGATGCACCAGACATCCCGACCCCACGCTCTTACGCTGAGGCGATGGCGGGTCCCTACTCCTCTCAGTGGCAGACAGCCATGGACGCAGAGATGGCCTCCTGGAAGTCCACAGGCACCTACGTAGACGAGGTTCCCCCTCCTGGGGCGAACATTGTCAGTGGCATGTGGATTTTCAGGGTGAAGCGGCCGCCGGGTTCTCCGCCTGTTTTCAAGGCGCGCTACGTGGCTCGAGGCTTCAGTCAGCGAGAGGGAGTAGACTTCTTTCAGACCTTCTCCCCCACCCCGAAGATGACTACTCTTCGGGTGCTGCTGCACATAGCCGCTCACCGCGACTACGAGCTTCACTCTCTTGACTTCAGCACTGCTTGCTTGGGCAGGGCAGCCTGCACGAGGAGATCTGGCTGCGTCGCCCCCCTGGCTTCACTGGGTCAGTTCTCCGGGCACCGTGGAGGCCGTCAGCGGCCGGTCTACGGTCTCCCGCCAGGCGCCACGTGAGTGGCACGACACACTGAGGACGACACTTGCGGCTCTTGGGTTCGCTCCCTCTACTGCTGACCCGTCGCTGTTTCTACGCACCGACACCTCGCTGCCGCCGTTCTACATCCTCGTGTACGTCGACGACTTGGTCTTTGCCACTGCTGACACGCCGCGCACTCGCTCACGTGAAGTCGGAGCTGCAGAGGAGACACACGTGCACAGACCTGGGTGAGCTGACGAGCTATCTTGGCTTGCGGATCACCCGGGACAGAGCACGGCGCACCATCACCCTGACTCAGTCACACATGGTGCAGCAGGTTCTCCAGCGCTTCCGCTTCACGTACTCCTCGCCTCAGTCCACTCCTCTGCCTACCGGTCACTCGCTCTCAGCTCTGCCTTCGGATGAGTCCGTAGAGCCGAGTGGCCCGTATCCAGAGCTTGTGGGCTGCCTCATGTACCTGATGACCTGCACTCGACTTGACCTTGCATACCCTCTTAGCATCCTAGCACGCTATGTCGCTCCTGGCCGTCACCGGAAGGAGCACATGGATGCTGCTAAGAGGGTGTTGCGCTACTTGTGCAGTACGTCGGGCATGGGGCTTGTGCTTGGAGGGCGAGACCGGGTTGTTCTCACAGGGCACTCAGACGCTTCTTGGGCAGACGACCAGGCTACTCAGCGGTCGTCCCAGGGTTACACCTTCAGCCTTGGCTCTGGCACAGTTTCTTGGCGTTCTACTCGCTCTTCTTCTGTTCTCAGCTCCAGTTGTGAGGCTGAGATCTACGCCACAGCCATGGCCGCTCAGGAGCTACGCTGGCTGACCTACCTGCTGACCGACCTCGGAGAGCGGCCTCGTTCTCCTCCAGTGCTGTACGTCGACAACAAGGCTGCCATTGCCTTGTGTGAGGAGCACAGACTGGAGCACAGAACGAAGCACATCGCTCTGCGGTACTTCCTGGCTCGAGAGCTGGCAGCACGTGGTCAGCTTTGTCTGCGTTACGTGGCCACGGAGGCCAACACTGCTGATGTGTTCACCAAGGCGCTTCAGCCTTGTGACCATCAGCGCTTTTGCACTCTGCTAGGCCTTGTACCTACTGGGCCTCACTTGCTTACCTCTTGACCTTGCTTGTACTGTGATCACTATATATATATGCCTACTTGTTTACGTTTGCTAGGTTGTGATCACTGTATCTCTTGCTTTGTTATAAACCTGCATGTGAACTGGTCTTGTGACCGCTTGCTTGTGCTCGGAATTTGTGTGGAATCCTTGAGATCCACCCTGAGCTTGTTTTGCTTTGCTTTGACTGGTCTTGTGACCCTGTGGCTGTCTCCCACTGCGCCTATGGGGGTGTGT